TTAATCGATGCGACAGATTCATAATATCCCTGGGCATAACACTTTAGCAGACTTCATTTATTAAGATGGGGGAGCAGCGTTTAGAGCTTGACCTTTGATGCATACATTTTAGTCCAATAAAACTGATTCAACTCAAGTGATGTATGTGCAAGTACCTTTGCGCTCTAACACAAACAACTTCACCCTTCGAGCTCGCACTATTACCGATAGAACAATGCAGAGGGATTAGATGTTATGTCGCATATATACGACGTGTAAGGTACATCTGAAGACACATGCAAAGGAGGAGACAGGCTAAAATTGCATTTAAAACAATGTATAAAGTAAAAAATGGTTTATTGACAGAAAAGTAGGATACAGGCGATACGCACTACATAGGACGTGTACTATACGCCTGTCAGTAATCATATGCGAAGGAGGTGACGGACTAAATTGCAATTTGTACAAATTTTATGGTCCTCCTATCGTTATTAACATAGAAAGACGTTGAAAGTTAAAATCGCACTTATTAAAATATGTAGGTATGTAGCATAATTTGCACAGGGGCACAAACACAGAGATAAGTATGATCAAACAAGGTTCAGCATTTAGGTTGCGCACATGCACTTTTGGATTCACTCTACTGAATCACAATAATGTAAAAGCTAAACGCCCTGGTCGAAAGTGGGTTATTGCATCTGTGGTATGTTTGACCAATTTAGATACGCAATTCCATTCTCAATCTATGATGTCCAATTTGATTGTTATGCTACCATTCGAATTTTGACACGCATGCTCATATTCTAATTTTTATTAGCATTTATGTGATAGCTGTTGTCGGCAGGGTATACGCTTCAAAAGTAAAAGGGAGGTGTAACTGGGTGAACTGATACACAACAATTTATAAGAAGTTGTTAATAGAATATGACTATAAGAGTTATATTCTCAGAATATTGTCATAAGGACAAATATTTTCCAGCATTTACGAGTAGTTCCTAATTGGTTAATATAGGCCATTATATCAACCAACGAAGACGCGCCACGACAGACGCACGCAATGAGTGGTGAGCAGATATTTGATTTACACATTTGTATTCAGACATAGTTAGATGAAGATAAATAGTGATTTATTACAGACATTAACTATTATAAATGCAGTTCTACTTTTTACTTTAATTAAGTACTCGCTTCTTCTTACCGTCTTCCTCTGCACGTACCAGTGTACGTGAAGTACGCGGCACCGCCTTATTCTGTCATCGGAATAGGTAGCTTGTACTGTCATCAGTACAAGCTTCAGGGTTCCCCGTTACAGGAGGAGAGCACAGCGATTATACATTGGTCGACAAAGCGAAAATATTGTGTAAATTCTAAGCAAGTTACACTCTTGGGAGGCACACTGTACTTGTATCGTGTGAACTTATGCCATACAAACATCATGTTTTATTCTAGTAAGATTGACTAAATTGGCATGATGGTGTATACATTGCTGGTGGAAATATTGAAAACGAATGATTTATGAGTACAGCGTGTTATGGTGCTGCAAGGTGTGGCAATGATGGTGCCAAGGACAACAAAACCTTTTTCAGCCTAATCGTCATTTACAATGACCACAGCTACAACAACGTTTCCAATGCATATATTTTTGATTCTCAGACGTCGAACGAGGCCAGATTAAAGCCACATTTAGTAAGTCACTTTATGTAGGTGGACTCTTTCATGGCGTCCATTAGTTTTAGAAAAACAAAAACTATGCACATTTGTGTGTGGTATTGCATGCATTTGTTCATCCTAAACGAGACGTATGCGCTGCATAAGACTATTAACACGTCAACACAAAAACCGTGACTAGACGATTAGTGTGTCGAACATAATCTCGCTGCGTCTCCTCCATTACCTAGGCCCTTGCAGCCAACCCCTTGTAGAATACGCATTTTGTGAAATCATGCCGAACTTGTCCTATTTAAAATCAACAATTGCATTGTCTAAAAGTATCAAACCTCTGTGGTGTGCATCGTTTTAGTCGTTCATTGTACAAGTCGCCAGGCCAAAACATACAAATGAGTGAAAAGGTTCTTGCCGACTAAATATTCAGTACATTTAAATCGCAAATCAACTGACAGATTTGATAGGTTGTGCCGGTGCAAGTTTCTGCCATTTACCGTGACTCGCCCACACACCTTCTAGCTATTTGTTTTTTCTTGGCTCCAGCAATCCCCCTACCCCATAGCGACCCTTGTTCGATTGCCCCACAAACTTTAAAAGGTCTCTTTCTTTGCCACGATACTTTCTTTGCACTTTGTTCACCCTGGTCTGTCGGCTTGTGCATCTTCAAGCTCGCCGATAAATAGGTCGAACCAAGCAGTCTCGTAAAGGAGGAGTGTTTTGACATGGAGGGCCAGAAGCGCAGGAAGTCAATTAAGTCACTCTCGACAACATTCCAAAAGAATCGAGCTGTTGAGTATAGGCTGCAAGTTGATAGAGTCACACTGAGTCCCATTCCGTCACATCCGTATCGTGCAGAGTTTTCATCACGCTTGGTCGTAAGGATGAATATTTGAATAATTAACACACCTTTTGAGCGTCACTGTGATAATGCCTTGTCATTTCTAGCCCCTAATTCCTTTGTCGAAAGTTATAAATAGCTTGAACTTCATATAGTGCTTCTGTTCTAGTTCGATATGCTGCCAGGCAATTTGCTAGTGAACCAATTGCAGGATGTAATGCTTAAAGATGTCAAGCAGTACCAAGAGCAACCACCAAAAATATTCAATAGCCATTGGCAAGCAAAAGACAAGTTGAAATACATATCTGATCATATTTAATAAAAGTTTGATACAACAACGACGAAGTTGGCACTCGTAACCACACGTCTTCGTGATCACAATCTGCATGAAATGCATACGTCCAGTCGATTATATTAATCATGTTAATGATTGTGATGCTCGATCAGACGAGCTTTAACATCTCCTTCTATTATTGCGCCAATATTGAATTGTTAGTTTGCCAACCTATTTGCTGACATTTAAATCATCATTGTTTGCCTTATGACCGAGTCCTGGATATAGGGAAGTACATATCATCACGATATTCTTGATCGCAAATCAAGGACAACTTGTCCGCCTTTGTAAACAGCGGGTCGTACAGCTGTACCGTTGTCCCATTTATAACAAGTTGTTGTTTTACACGTGACGAGAGGCAAGAGCATCCTGATATTCCTTGCTCTAATAGAAGCCGGCCCTATCTTTTTTTTTTTTGCTCGTCTGATTGACAGGAAAGCAATAACGTTAGTACATTTACGTAGAGCCGCCAACACCGATACTGATTTAAACAAAAGACGTGCGTGTAGTTTAACAGCGCCTCATTCAATATCGCGCGAAAATTTCTGTGAAATGGCTATTGCAACGTCGTATAGTTGCGTGACCAATCTAACACAACGTCCTATAAAATAAAATTAGATTGTATTAATTATTGATGGGTGGTGGCTGGTTAAAGAACGGGTAGTGGCTGAACAACGTTTCCCTCTTTTATTTTCGAGAATAAAAGGTGCAATCTTTACTATCCTGGTATTTATCTTATTCCAATTTTACACGTGAGTACTCATGTTATTCAGTCATAGGACCATGATAGCGTGGTATACACATATTCGTGCTAAAGCGGTGCTAGTTTTGCGACCGATGCCAGTTTGCGACGTTCGCATCTGATTGGTGCCGGTATTGTGTGTGACTTACTCAATGAATATCCACACACCCACTTTTTGCTATCCGCACCCCCCTCATACCGGTACTCATAAGAAATGTCATTTATTAGCCAATAGCGAAGAAGTTACATGCAATAGTACCACCACCTCAGGGCGGGTTCGAAACCTCTAACTGAACGACCACCTGTGTTCCAGGTGTAGCTTCTAGTACACAAATATTTGTAATCAGTTAAATTTGTAAGTCGTCATTTGCAGTTGCCTTGCAATCATTGCACTGTATGCGTTTAGTTAAAATGAACAGTCCGCTCGCACCTCACGTTGCTAATCGTTGTAAATCATCGATCGGTCATAATTTGAGACAAGTATGAGCCACGTTGCCACAATTACGTAGCTCACGCGAAATCACCCCCACACAACTATCACTAGCACCAAGACACAAACGTATGCGCATCCAGGCATGACATTTTTAACTGTTCGGCAGTGCAGCAGCCATACCTACCCCCTCAACTTCGCTCAAGCTTAATTGAACGTTCCGATGAGATTCGTTAAGATTTATCGTACTGAACGCGTCCCACTAATTCTTGCCAGCGTTATACCTAAATGCATCGTCGTGGTAGTGTCAAGTCGGAATTTGCTGCTGGCAATGTGTTAAAGGCTATGCGCAACTAGCTTCTCCATTTACGTGATGTCAAGTATTTTCACCACTTCTGTCGAATCTATTCCTTTCAAACTGCAGGTTTCTAAGCCAGTTCTTTTAGTCGTGTACAGCTCGTGTACAGCTCGTTTACACTGTGGTCTAACGTGCCAATACGAGGCCTTTACTGTGTCGCTGACGCTGATAACATGACTGATTATTTGGGAATGGATCATTATTTTGGCGACGTCTGGATTGCTGAATGTTGTAGGAAAGGATTCGATCGCTTTATTTAATTGTTTAAAGGTGCGAAGCACGAGCTGGAATAGCTTTTGTTCCTAAGTACGTTGGAATACAATTTAATTCGACTCATGAATGTGAAAAACATCCACCCTTGACGAAAAAGCATTTGTTTGTCCCATGCCTATAAACTGTGATTTGCTACGCACAAGTGACAAGACAGCGATGGCACGGCAGGGTGTAATCGGCTCACGTGTAGCCTGATAATTCTAGAACTACCTTGAGTGTACATTCTAGAATCCATCAAGATCAGGAAAAGCTAAAAGGCAGAAGGGGAGATCATAATGAGTAAGTTCATAGGAAGACTGATGCAATACACTTTCCAATTTCCCTTTGACATAACAGGTTATGAGCCCAAGAGCTATAGGACCACTGCAAGAAGCGTCTACGATGAAAAATCCCGACGATCTGCTCGGAACTGACAACTACTTTCATTGGCAATTTAATATGAAGATGACACTTGCGAAGAAGGACCTGCTGGAGCACATCTTGGAACTGAAGTTGGAGCAGGAGATGACGGAGGATTAGATGTTAAGGACATGTAGGAATTTGCTACTATTGCTCAAGGGATAGAAGTGAAGCATCAGAAGAAGATCCGACATGCTCGCACTGCGAAGGAAGCATGGGGATCACTACGCGACTACTACAACAAGACAAACCTTCAGAATCGAGTGGCACTGACACGTTTATTGCACGAATTTCGTATGGATGAGGGAGGCGACATGGTGAGCCACCTTGACCGTTTTGAGGAGCTTGTTCTGAGTGTGGAGGCGGTGGGCGATGCCATGGACGAAGCACGCCGGATGACAGTTCTGCTGAGTAGCTTACCGGCAGAGTACGAGATGATTGTGTCCATTTCTGAAAATTACGTGGGTGTGACGATGGTGGATGTGAAAGAAAAGCTGTTGAAGGAGCACAAGAAGAAGCAGCAACAAGAGGTCTCCAAAGGAGCTTTCCGCGTTGGTCGTGGAGGACATAAACAGGATCGTGGTCGTGTAGTGCGTCAACAACGTGGAGCAGAAGAGAGCTGGAAGAAGAAACAGTCGTTTCGTGGGAAGTGTCACCGCTGTAACAAGATCGGACACAAGCAGTTTGAGTGCCGATCTGCCACCAAGAGTGATGGAAATGAAATGGCGTTCACGGCCTTAAACGGATTAAAGGAAGGATAGTTGTTGGACAGCGGTGCCTCGTTAAAATGACCCCATCCGAAGAAGATTTCTTCGAGTACAAGAAATTGAGAGAAGCCATCCAAGTTCGCGTTGCCGATGGTGTGGTCATGAGTGCAATTGGACGAGGGAGCATTCGATTTCGCTGTAAGAATGATACAGCAGTGACTGTAAATGAAGTATTGCACATTATAAGGCTGGACAGACGATTGCTAGTGGTGCCGAAGATTGTACAGCGTGAATACAACGTTCGATTTGATGAAAAATACTGCGGAATCTACAAGGACAATGTGTTGACGATTTCAGCGAAGCGCACAGGAAGCGTGTACACTCTTGATGTGGAGTATGAGCACGCGAAGTTGGTAGAACACGAAGACGCTGGTAACAAGTGAAGCCTGTGGCATGCAAGAATGGGTCACACTAGCCACAACAAAAATGCAGAATGACGCAGCAGGCTACGGAAGGACTGCCGAACATCATTTCTGACACGAACAAGAATTTGTGCGGAGGGTATTTACAAGGAAAATTGCGTGTCGCGAGCTTTCCACAAGAGTCGAAGACAAAGACAACGCAGCCACTGCAGCTTATTCACTATGACGTCATGGGCCCTATGAAGACTCCAACTCCTGGTGGGTCTCGATGCGTATTGTCATTCGTGGACGATTTCTCAAGATTTGTGACTATGTTTTTAAAAATCTACTAATGAAGTATCGTCGAAGTTTATCGAGTTTAGGAGCGAAATGGAACAGCAGTGTGGATTTCTTGTCAAGGCCATACGTACTGACAATGGCGGTGAATACGAAAACCTCTTGTTCTTACGTACTGCAAGAAGAACGGCATCATTCATCAGAAGACAGTACCATACAGTCCTCAACAGAACGGTGTCGCAGAACGGATGAACCGCACGATTGTTGAGACGGCCAGAAGCATGATGCATTAAAAACGTGTGGCAAAGCAGTGGTGGGCCGAAGCTGTAAATTCGGCAGTGTATTTAATTAACAGCACCACGAACAGCAATCACGAGGCGGAGACTCCATCTGAATTGTGCTTTGAGACGAAGCCGCAGGTATATCACCTACGCGTATTTAATTCACTTGGATACGCCCATATCGATGACTCAAAGCGCACGAAATTTGACGCGAAAAAGGGTTCCGCTGTATGCTGCTGAGATATGCAAGAAACACCAAGGGTTACAAGGTGCTTAATTTGTAGACTGGCACAATCAAGATCAGTCGTTCGATCTCGTTAGATGAACGTGAAGACAGTAACATTTACGAAGACAATCCTGTTAATTCACACCCGAGGACAATTATAATACGACAAGATGACGATGGTGGAGATCAACCAAGTAACTTGCAACAAGATGGCGATGAAGATGTTGAAATGGATTAGCACGAAAATTGTCGAAGATGTGGAGATGGAGGTACCGAGTTCTGACAATGGCATCAGTGGCACATCTTCGAGTGAGACAAGCGATCATTATATTGATAGAAGCATGAACACCGAGCAACATCAACGCAACTCGCAGGTAACCCCCAACAAGGACTTCGTCACCAATAAGTTGAATTGCACAATTCGCACGACTCTGGTGCGATGGTGTTCTGATCACAACTTAAGCATCGTTCCCGTCGCGAGCATCAGTATCGTGTTCTTACTGACGATGCCAGTGAGAGAAGTGGATCCGGACCACGAAGAGGTGTTGATGAAGTGTTACCAATTGAGAAATCTGTTCAACTCTTGCTGAAGACAATGAAACCGGTACCACAACAGAAAACAGCATTGTGCCATACAATGAAAACCATGAAGCCAGTGGGAGTGACAATGACGAACCTCCTTCCAAGCGATCGCTAATAGACAGCGATGTGTCGTTGATAGCAGAAGTTGCCATGGTAGCTCGTAATTTACTTAGCTCTCATGCGGAGGCACTAAATGGACCTGATAGATACCGCTGGATCATAGCTATTGAGTTTGCAGCTCATGAGCGCAACAAGACGTGGACACCAGCAGTACGCAAGCCTGGAATGAAACCGATTGGATCCAAGTGGGTATAGGCTAAAAAGATTGATGGTCGATACAACGCACGACTCGTGGCGTTCAGGATTTTATGCAACAATATGGTATCAATTTTTTTCGAGACGTACGCGGCTGTCGCCAGTATGAACTCCATCGGGATACTTTTGTCGATTTGCTGCGCCGAAAGATATGTAATCGACCAGCTTGATGTTGATACGGCCTACCTGAATGCCGACCTAAAACAAGAAGTATACTTGTTGCCACCCAAAGGGATGAAAATTGGCAGCGAGTTTGTACTTAAATTGAATCGCGCGCTTTACGGACTTAAGCAGACTGCCAATGCCTTGAATAAGACGATTCACAATGCATTGCTGGAGATGGGATTTGTCGCGTGCGGTGCTGATCGATGCATATACAAGATCGAGGATGGTGAAGGCTGGGCGTTTGTGTGCTTATACGTTGATGATATGATCGTGGTTGCAAAAGATGCAACCACGGTACGCAAGGTGAATGAACAAATCTCTCAACGGTTTCAAACCAAAGACCTTGCACCAGTGAAACACTTACTTGGAATGGAAGTTATGTACGACCGAAAGAAGCGTGACATGTTTATTTCGCAACAAAATACATCGAGTAGACTGCAGACATGTTTGGACAGACTCAAGCCCGACCAACTGGTAATCCATGTGATTCGAGCATGAAACTGTCCAGCGCATACAGTCCAAAGACCGATGTCGAAAGACAAGCCATGAGTCGTACACCGTACCACCAATTACTGGGACGACTGCTATTTACAGTGACCAAGACCAGGCCAGACGCAGCATTTCCTATGAGCCAGCTTGGACGATTTGCAGACAACCCTGGATCCCAACTCTGGAAGGCACTGATCAAAGTGCTAAGATACCTTCGCTCGACGAGTGATTTTGGATTACACGAAAGTGTTGACAAACTACAGCAACAACTAACAGCGTATAGCGACGCCAATTGGGGAAACAGCTTGGACGACCGTCGATCGGTATCTGGTGTTTTGCTGGTGCTTAATGGAGGCCCTGTTATATTCAAGTCTAAGTACCAACGCACCGTTGCATTGAGTACTTCGCTGGCTGGATACATGGCGTTAAGCATTTGCACACAAGATATACAATAGGCAAGGATGTAAATGGCTGACCTCGGATTCGAGCAGAAGAGTCCTACCGTCATCTGGGAGGATAATCAAGGAGCCATTGCGCTCGCAACAAACCCAGGATATTATTCGCGGACTAAACACGTAGACATACGTCACCACTTTGTACAAGAGAAAGTCTTGGCCAGTGATATAAAGGTGATTTACAAGGAGACGGGAACATCAACTCGCCGACATACTAACGAAGGCACTCAGCACCAAGCGATTCCAGTACCTCCTCGCCGGAATGGACATCATGGTACGTGATGAATTCGAGCATTAATTGTGAGTGGAACTGTTGATATGTGCACTGTCAATACACGGTCAACAAAGCAAACTGTGATTTGCTACGAACAAGTGACAAGACAGCAATGGTACGGCAGGGTGTAAACGGTTCACGAGCAGCCTGATGATTCCAGAACTACCTTGAGTGTACATTCTAGAATCCATCAAGATCAGGGAAAGCTACAAGGCATAAGAGGAGAACACAACGAGTAAGTTCATAGAAAGACTATTTCAATACACTTTCCAATTTCCCTTGGACATTACAATCTTTAATACAAGGTGTCAAAAATACGAGCAGATAAGTTTTGCTCGCTATTACCAGTTCACATAGTAGCTAAGCGGTTGTACAAGCGCCTACCTTGTGGGGATGACATGTTGGAGTCGGTAATCACCTTAAGCAAGACTGAGATTTGTTACTCGGACTAGATGAATTTAGGTTTACCGATTACTGGTGTGCACTCAGTGCTTCTCGGATATAGCTTTTGCGCAACGCATCATGAGCTAGACAAAGAGGGTTATGAAGTCCTAAATGCAGATAAAGAACAAAGATAAATCTATTAACGGGAGCAGAATGAAATCACCATTGAAGCAAATTCAAATTTACATCACGCCATGCAAGGATGAGATTTATATGGTTTCGTGGCTGAGACGCATCATCATCGAGAATCTGCTGACTAGTTGCTTTTGTAACATGTTTAGATGGTGCGCCTAACATGCAAATGTCGTATCTAATAATGCGTACACGATTACGTGGTTGCAAGACACCGTTTCATAGACTCGTCCGCATCGTCTTGGCCACCAATATTATTTACAGCTTCACTCCAAAAGTGATCTCCGATCCATCTGTGCTCTCTACTTCGTCATTATTATGCTTATTGGGCACTTCGGTACGGAATTTATTAGCAGCGTCCGCGTTGTAGTCGTTTAGCTCATCTGTCACCCGCGTATCGATGGGCGATCAAATCAAAGCTAAAAGGCGTAATTATATGCTATCCGTAATAAGTACTTCGTCATGTTGATCTTCGCCTTGTGACCCTCTCGCCAAAATGGGTTTCTCATGTTAGCTCTTGTGATTTCAGCTACGATGCACTACTCCTCAAAAGTGGATTTGTGTAGTGCTGGTATGGTCGCTTCACACTAGTTTCGAACGTGCTTATAGAGGCATGCCCGGGCAATAAAAATAGCGGCTAACGACTCATAGACTGTAAGTGTGATATCTTTGGTCGGCTTCAGCTTCAGAATTTAGCTGGGTAGGTTCAGTTCTACCCGGGGAAGATTCACATTTTGTTCCTCAACTGCCCAGATACCTGCTATCAGGAACTTACAGAATTTGCGACTGGGTGGCGTACCTTATGCACACTTGCTTCACTTTATCTACCGGCTGCGTCCCCTTTGAGACCAGTCGGTGGTGCGGTTTAGATTCGGACCTTGGCGGGTGCGCTGCACACGCCAGGGCTTGAACACGCGCCTCCCGGTCAGAACAGCCGTGGCTAAACCACTGCACCGCCCCGATCGGTCCAGAAATTAGCTGGGATGGACATAACCAAAAAGACTCAACCAAAAAGATTCTTCAGGCGCAGCAAAAAATAGCAGAACTGCAACACAACAACGCTGTTATGTAACGATAAAACCTTCACACTGGAATTTTGTGTAAAGACACGAAAAAGTCTGAGAAAGGTCTTAGGTGTGGTACGCGCTTAGATATCTCATTTGGTTGACGACAGCAATAGCGTACCTACCACAAAGTTGGTGTCCTGCTACTCAGATGTGACGTCACTGTTTCAAAGGGATGATAGCCTCGCTACCGTCCTACACTTAAAGGGGGGGGCTTGGAAGAATCGCTTTGTTTATAAGGTAAATAAAGCTCTGTTTTATTTTTGTGCCTTAATAATTCGCAGTGAGTGCGAATATGCTCCCTAGCTCGCATGAATCGCTGAGATAAAGATTTATTGTTATTGGCTGATTATCAGGTCTGTCACCCCTTGCATAAACCAAAAACAAAAAGATGCGCAGCATCCGCTATCCGGATACTGCCTATACTCAAAATGTGCAATGATGTAATGAAAACTATGACTACTTTGTAGAATAGGCTGCCCCATTACACTACTTGACGTCGATCAAAAATGTCACCGAAGTACGTCGTCAAAGCACTTATAATGATTTAAAGCACGCTCTAGAGACCGAGTCTTATCGGGGCGCGCACCTGATCTTTTCTTTTAGTTAATGGCCATTAAGGTTAAATAAGTCTCACTTTTGCAAACCCAGCTGTTACGTGTGCTCTCGAGGACAGGAGACCGCGTCTGAGCCGCACGAAACAACAGTGTTTATTCATCGGCAAGGAAGTCTTAAGACGCCAACCCTAACCCCTCCGCTCGCGACAAGGCGGTAATAAAGCTTCCCCAGAGATGCCTGGAGGTGTGCGTCGATATAGTACGTTGCAGCTCTAAGCGCCCGCCTTCACTTTGTAGTACTAATAGTCCTTCTTATGACCAGCTCGAGGGGGGTTGACGAGAAATTGGATCAGGTAATCAGTTACTAAGACGTGGCTAATTTGTTACGCTGCCAACAGAGTAATAAGTTTGTGGTTAAGCTGACTAAGATGATATGGAGCAGATCGCTGGATCGAGTGATATCAAACACGAAGGATCGCTGAGAAGGATATATTGTCGATTGAGCTGCGTGAAATTAAGATCGAATATTATGAAAACAGTATCGGGGTTACACAAGGGTTATCAAGATTGGAAATATGATCGGCGATGAAATGTGTTAGCGATCTGGAATGTAGGCCAACGGTCAAAGGCAGTTGCAATCGGGAATAGTGATCAACTATTGGAATGTAATCTTGATCAAGAATGGAGCTCGAAGATCCGTGGCGATTGCGATCGGGGATGGCTATCGACTATCTGAGGAGATCGCATCAAGCTCACCATTCTTGATCAAGACCGCGATCACCAAACCAGTGAAAGCTCTTTGATGTACGTTACAAAATCGATGTGGTCCTATCGAAGGGAACACGATCCGGATATTAATTTAATCCGGAACCGCGATCAGGGACTACAATCGGAAGTACCGCTATCGCAGACCACGATCAGGGGACCGTGATCGGGGGACCGCAATCAAGGAATTGCAATAAGGAGACCTCGATCAGGAGACATCGATCAGGAGACCTCGATCAGGGAAATCGATCAGGAATCACGATCTGGAGACTGGACAAGTAGAACGAGGTCAACTGCATGGCAGAGCTTCCACTGACCTGCTACACGTGATATCGGAGACGTAGAAATTTTTTTTACAGTCCCGACTGCGCAGACTATTCAGATCCCATACTTGGAGAAGAGGGTAGACTACGAAGGCGAAGTTTCTGCGCATCTCCTGTCGTTTTGGGGACAACGTTATCCCTACCCTTAGTCCAGCGGAAGGCCACCCCAAACGGGGAGTCTTCACAAAAATGCAGACATTGGCTAAAGCATGGAGCCCCATACTGCAAGGCTCGACCATCATGGCTGGAAAGGCATCCATAGTTAATTAAATGCCAGCAGAACCCACAGATGATGTCGATGGTTTGGAAACGCCTACACTCTTCACTACGACCATATCACTGCTGCTTTCGAAGCATGTAAGCTGAGAAAGGCGTGTGGTCCAGATAGACTTGGCCTCGATTGGTATGTTCACTACTCTCCTGAGCTCATACCCCTGATGATCAAGCTATATCGACTTTGGTACAACACCGACGTCTGTTCAGAGTCCATTCTAGGAACAGACATTTTCTGCCGTAAGAAGACGGGCGACAGTAGTAACCCGCTAAACTATAGACCTCTATCACTAATGAACACTGACTAAAAGCTTTTTACATGACTTATAGCGGCGGCATTCAGGAGGATTTTAAACATTCGGATACACCCGCATCAACACTATTTCGTGCCTGGTCGTGACATCCATGCCGTACTTGACTTCTACGTGGTGGCTCAAGCCACGGTCCCTCATTCACCCAAATTGCGAGATGCGGTTGTGATGTTGCTCGACTTCTCGAAGGCTTACGGTAACCTTGATAGGGAATTACTCTATGCATTCCTCAGCCGACAAGGGTACCAACCCCATCTCGCAAAGGCTTTTTAAATGTTATATACCAGTTCGAGTGGCAGATATCTGGCTTAAGGTCAAGAAATGTCCCCATCACACAAGGCATACGTCAAGGATTCCATCTAAATCTGATGCTCTTGATACTGGCATTAAGGCCCCTATACCAAACATAGACCGTGCCCCGGCTTTCAGGGTATCCGGATCACGACTAATGATTTGACAAGCGCCCTTAAGATAGGCGGATACGTGGATGACACGGCACTTTACTTGAGTGACCCGTGCCTTATCACGAGAGCGATTTAAATTGTGGAAGCTTTAGGTGCTGCGTCCGGTCTCTTATTGAACGTCTGCAAAACCGAATCAATCGCGTTACATCTTGAAGGTCTGTCAAAGGATACAAATTGGATTCGGTAGATTGCACTTCAGCCTTCTTCGGCCTTCGTAAGGTACCTGGGTTTGCAAGTCGGGAGCACAAATGGGGTAGAACACTGCTGGCATACAGCGCTATATCAATTGAAAGCTCGAGTTCGACTAGCCAGTCAGAAGACGTTAACGATCGAACAAAGAGCCATGGTGGCGCCATCGATTATCATGTTAAACTTCTTTATATCACTAGACATGCATGGCCAACCACTAATACGATTGAACGGCTGGAAAAGTGTATCAAGTATTATGTAAAGCATGGAGTCTTCAGTACTTTGGACACCCGCTGTACTACGTGGATGACGGGAACGGTGGCCGGAATGCGTCAGAATGAAGGCGGACTTGCTATTCCGAGTTCACGGGCTGAGCACTTGGCACTGGCTGCGGTAACAGTGTCACTCCTAGGCTCTTCAGCCACAACGACACTCTTACTTAGTGGCGATGTTCTACCGCAATGGTCAGAAGGACGCAGGTGAGCCGTAGAAGCTCACGCTGGATACGACAGGACGGCGAGTTACATGCTTTAGAGCTGGCAAAACGCAATGGACAGCAGGAAGATGTGTGTTGGGGGGAATACGAGGGATCAAGTCAGACAGGAGAGCATGCAGCCCAAGTTTCCAGCTTCTATTCTCACGAAGAGCAGCAAGTGTCCACAAGACTCGGCTGGGATGACAACTTATGTGAACTTGATCTCACAGGAATACGGGGATCGGAGCTAGCGAAAGTTAATAATTGCTCACAACGCACTATGAATCGGTCCAGACCGTGTCGCTGTCCTATTCTAACCTGCATAACTTACCGTTGTACACAACTACTGGAGTGATCCAATCCGATGCTGATGGTTGTGTGGAGACGAGGCATATTAGGGGGCATCCTCGGCTGGCATAAGGCTAGCAGGACAAAGCTGACCATTACGGCGAAGGAACCCCGCTCTCTGTCAGCCTTACTACTGGTAATAGTCGCCCTCATTCTAAATTTTTCCCGAGATATTACATCAACGGAAGCAGGACACAGTCATTCCCGTCACAACGACGCCACTGGCCACGCCTTTCGAGGACCATACAAGTTCGGTAACCGCCGGTGATGGGACCGTGGAACTCTCGGTTAGCACAGGACCAGGACCTGTTTCTTTCTCTTGTATCGTGGGCTCATGGATGGAAGCGATAATTCTTCTTCAGCAGTGGACAGGACAGCAGTACCATATTGGGAAGGTAGGTCCACATCCGGCCTTGCACCGCCTCGCCGACCTAAGACGACGGAAGAAGCCACACCGCTTTCACGTAGAGACGCGTTGCGCGCGAGTGAACGTCGCATCGGTCTTTAGTAAATCGTTAACTGCACGAAATCATGGATGGCTGACGATCGGCATATAGCGAAGGGGATAGGAGCAGTGTGATGACTTCTCGTTCACTAGGTAAATTGGAAACTGAATTAATGTAGGTCCTTAGTTCGCTACCCTGTGCTATTCTAAGCCTACCCTTCTGGATCCTTCTAGAAGCTTCTTCAGTGACGTCATCTAATGACGTCAGCGGATGAAGTCAGACTGTGACGTCCTCCAATGACGTCAGACTTATCCTTTTTTTTACTTTTTACGCTGAAATTACTCCTGTACTAGGCCGTACGTACCTAGCGGCCTGACATCTCCCTGGACTTGAATTCGCGTTGGCCGTCTCGAAAATCTTGGACTAGTTGCTGCCAATGCGAAACGTGGCGGATGGATCTCTCGCGCTCCCAAGTACTGTCACACTCCGGGAGGCCATGCCATTTGACTAGCCATTCTTTTTGGCGATTGCGCTGACGACGACTAAGCAAGCTTTCCACAATGTGTAGTTGCTCTCCGGTGTCTGGCTCTAATATAACTGGTGCTGCTTTTGGAATTGGTCGTCCAGCGAACTCGGAGGCATTTGGCTTGTATGGGAAGAGTAGGTCAATGTTGAATGAGGAGTGCAGTCTCTTCATATGTCGTGGTAGCTTTAACTTGGCTACGTTCGGATTGACCATCCTGGTTATCTCAAACGGTCCCACTTTTTTTTGCTGCCAGCTTCGCTTTCTTTAGATCAACGTGAGCGTTCACTGTTCTAAGCGGTAGGTTCTTGGCATCCAACAGAACTAAGTCACCTACTTTGCAAGTAACGCTTCTTCTTTTCGAGTCTTAGTGCTTCTTTTGCCTTTCCTGGGCTTGTTCCAGGTTTTCGCGTGCCTTGCGTACTAGTTTTTGACGATCGTTGGCAAACTTGGAGGCAAATTCTGAAATTGAATGGGAGCCCAGATCAGCGTGGCTTCCGTATTCATGCGAAATCAGATTGGATACCTTTCTCCCAGTATCGATTTCGAACGAGGTGAGCTTAGTAGATGCGTTCACCGATGTAGCGTGCGCGTACTCTACAGTACCCAGTAGTTTGACCCAATTTTTGCCACTGTACGATACCAGGCAGCGTAAAGCGTCTTCCAACACCAAGTTTTGGCGCTCCGTTTGCCCATCTGATTGCGCTCTATGAGCGGTTGTCATGCTTAGCTTGACACCCATTATATTCATCAGTGATTTCCAGAAGTTCGCCGTGAACTTTGGATCCCGATCGCTGATAATAACCTTCGGCAATCCATGATGTCGGACTACAGCGTCGAAAAATAGATCTGCGGTGTCTTTCGAATCGGCAGTCATATATGTCGGTGCATAAATTGGCCTCTTTGACAACTTGTCTACGACGACGCAAATAGCATCATAGCCTTCCGACACGGGTAGCCCAGTAATGAAGTCCATTGATACTACTTCCCAGCATTCCTCCGGAACGGGAATAGGAATCATTAATCCTTTCTTCCGCTGGCTGTTAGACTTCCATCGCGCGCATGTTTCACATGTCTCCACGTACTTCTGCACGGTTTCAAGTATCTTCGGCCAGTAGTACCATTGCTTTAACTTTATGTAAGTTCGGCGCACTCCTGGATGTGCCGCTGTGGCTGCATCGTGAAACTCGTATAGAATCTTCGTCTTCATTTCTGGTATGTCTGGGATGCATATCTGTTGCATTGCCTCGTCTTGTTTGACATATATGATTCCTTTGTCGATTATGAAGTTGTCCTTCGATTGTTGAGTTCTCCAGATCTTTTGGAAAAACTTGTCTGTGTGATATCCTTGCTGGATAGTTTTTCGACCTTTGTCACTGAGATGTGCGCGCACCACGTGAAACGCAGCGTTGTGGATTTGCTCCTGAGCGATTCCTATCGGACGAGACTCCCCCCGCAACTCCACATCGTCAAGTAAGAGATGTGCGACTTAGAACGGAATGGACCGCATGAGAGCGGAGTGAGCCATGTGTTGCTGCAAAAGGTGAGAGTTGAGGGCACAAGCATCCGTACATTCATGTACGACGTGCGACAGATCGGGAACTGGGCACGTAGGCACAGCGCGCACGCTGGAGGGATCTGCGGATACGGCCGGTCGAGATAATGCATCGGCCACGACGTTAGACCGTCCTTTAACATGATGTAAGACAAAGTCGAACTGGGAAAAGAACGTCAGCATGCGTGCCATCTTGAGCGACACTTTAGGATGGTGGAGCATCCATTTGCACGCTGAATTGTCGGTGTAGACTGAAAAGTGTCGTCCGTGGAGATACGGGCGCCATTTTTCTAAAGCAGTCTTGATTGCTAGCAGCTCTTTTTCATGAGCGGGCCATTTTAATTTGTGGGGGCCCAGATGTTTCGAATAAAATGCGATGGCGTGGTCGCTATTAATGATGCGCTGAGAGAGGACACCGCCCATGCAGAACCCAGACGCATCCGTAGTGACAATAAAAGGGTGCGTAAAGTCTGGCAGCTTTAGCGTCGGAGCCTGCTGAAGTGCGAGTTTTAACGCGTTAAATGATCGCTGTTGATCCTCCCCCCAGCTCCAGCGAGTCTCGTGTTTGGTTAATGCTCGAAGAGGACGTGAAAGCTTGGCAAAATCGCAGATGAAGCGACGGTAATACCCAGCCAGCCCGAGAAAACTCAGCAGCTCCTTGCGACACGTCGGAGCTTGAAACTGTGCAATAGCATCGTTCTTCTTTGGGTCGACCTGCAGACCTTCGTCGGAAACCATATGCCCTAAAAATGCAATCTCGTTACGACCAAACGCACATTTGGAGAGTCGAGTATAAAGCTTCTCCTTGCGTAACACGGCGCATACTGCGCGAACGTGGCCGACGTGGTCCTCCATTGTACGGGAGAGGATACATATGTCGTCAAGATACACCACGACAAAGGTTCCGAATTGGTCGAAAAACGTTCGCATAAGCCGCGACCAGACACCAGGCATTCCAGATAAACCCATGGGTGCTACACACCATTGATACGTTTCCTTATGGGTGCGAAAAGCCGTATAGGGTCTACTTGATGGTAAGACTACCATTTGATGGTACCCTTGCGCAAGATTAAGAAGCGTAAAAAACTTACATCCCACCATGCGGTCGAACAGTTCCTCGATCAACGGCAAAGGAATTTTTGCCACGACAGACATGCTATTAACATATCGTTAGTCAATGACCCATCTAATGGGGATCTTGGAATTTCCGCTGCGGAGCCATTCTGCGCGTTTAAGGAACCGCCCGGTTACAGGATCCTTTTTTGGAATCCCAAATATGTTTGAAACCCATGGAGAGTTGGACACCTAGATCCATCCTTTACGTATATTCTCCTCCACAAATTGTTGGAGCGCCTCCTGCTCCACTTTCGATAGACGGAAGGGGGCCCGAGAGCTCGTCACCGCATCAGGCTTCAGTTGTAGCTCAAAGTTGACCGATCGCGTGGAGGCATTACCTCTGGAAGTTGGTCGGGGAATACGTCCTTGAACTCGTCTAGCACTGGCTGTAGCTCGTGCGGTATCTCCTGATGATCTATGGTGGTAACCTTTAATTGATATATTTCCTCGTAGGCTCCGCGAGTCATCTTCGCATGAAATGTCGGCCCGTCCACGTCTTTGAACGCCGTGTGTGCTGCAACTTCAGTTTGTTGTGTACGCCAGTTGATCTGGGGGTTGTACATGGTAAACCATGGTTGACCAAATATCAAGTCATGTGTATCCGGTAGATCCCATTCTGTAAACTGCATCTTAGGGAACTCCATACCGTCGATTAAAATGGTATCTTCCACCCGCTTTGTGGGTTGATTTGATGTCCAGGTACCATCAAAACGTCGTGCTTGTACCATCTGTTCGCTGAGAACTGTGGACGCCAGACCGGGTTTGATCAGATTCGTTGACGCTCCAGAGTCAATCAAAATCTTGACGGGTTTATAACCAATAACACCATCACGAACGAGTAGTCGACTTTTCGCTGGTATGTCCGCCCCCGAGCTACTTGAGTGGATGTCAATGAATGGTACCTCAGAATCCTTTTGTACCTCCACTTTATTGATCGTGACTCGGTCGTAAACACTTGTGTCCTGGTCGTCCTCACGACTGTCCACATTGTTTACATGCTGACGATGTACCTGATGTTGATAGTTCCGTCCAGCATTAGTGTTTTCTCGAACAGAACGTGTGGGGCGCTGATGACACTGTGCGGAGCGATGATTCGGACTACCGCATTTGAAACACAAATTTCGTCGACGACATTCGTCCCGAGAAGGAATCTGCACAGTGCTAACGTCCATTGGCTCTGGGCCAGTGTTGGATTGATATCGACGATTGTTTTCGTATGACCGGTACCTAGGTTTATCCTGTGACCTGCCTCGGGAATACCTCGTCGGATGAGAACGGTCAAAGTCTAACGCAACAGTAATAGCGTCTGACAACGTTGTACAGCGACGGTACTGGACCTCTTCTCGCGTACGACCAGAAAGTCCGCGTAGGAAGTACATAATCCTGTCCAGTTCGCTCATGTCTTGGACTTGAGTTACCACGTGGCGAAACTTGCCTACATAGTCAGAGAGGTCCTTGCAATCGCGCTCTCTCATATCATTCATTTCTTCCCGCAGACGCTCTTGTAGATCAGCTGGAACGAACTCCCGTTCTATCTTGAAGAAGAAGTCGTCCACGGTTGTGATGTTCTGCTTTTGCATGACATACCACTGAGCAGCTCCGTGCTTTAGTGTGCCCCCCAAAATGGCTAGTATGCGGAGAGAGAGCTCATGACACTTCCAGTTCACCCCTTTTGCGAAGAAGTATTGCTCTACTTGCTCCTTGTAGAGAAGAAACGATTCGTCCAATCTGCCACCATACGTCGGAAGCTTTACACCTTCAAGCTTTATGTCCGATAATTGTGTGGACCTTTGAAACTGCTCTAGCAACAGCGATTGTTTCTCCATTGTCGCAACCATCGATTGCAGCAGTTGTGCATGCTGATCGGACGTCATTGGGGTGGACATTATGTAACGGTACAGAACTAACTGATATTAACGATTAGTTAATTGTACTTGGCGGAGCTATGGTCTTGGTACTTCTCTTGATAACCTTTGATCCGGGCTTCCAGGACTTAGTTGGCTTGGCAGTCGGTTGTTGACGGGCGAGCATGACCTTGTACCCTGGTGGTCCAGAATACGGGACTCGGGCGGTTTTGCTTGTGTGCTTGGAAATCTCGCGTGAGATGCGCAGGCTCACAGTGCTCTCCAAGCTGAGCAAGTCGCTAGCGTGCGCCACAAGCCAAGTCTTGATGTGTTTGCGCGAGTCGGAGCGCTGAGCCGTGTCCAAATGCTTCTCGAAGCGGACAAGAATGCGTCTGGTGCGACGGATTGCTTCCAGTAGGTCCGCACGGCACTTGTCGGCTGCGTCCGGCTTTGTCACGGATAGCTGTGCCAGCGAGTCGTTGATGTCGAGTTTCGTGGGTTGCCTACGCGGGTAACGGGTCATGAACCGAAGTACTAACCTTCCGTTAACCAAACTGACTTATTCCCAAAACGAGTCGATTTATATTCAATAAGACCACGACCTCGATAACGGTAGCAGTGATAATGGCCCGGTAGGATTTACAGCCAATGAAAAGGAGTCCCTGCCCAAAAAACAAGATTGGGACTTACGATGGATTCTCTAGATCACTGCTCTTGAGCGACGACGACGACTACGACGGTTACTACGGCTACGACGGTTACTACGGTTACGACGGTTACGACGGCAGAGACGGCGGGGACGGCAGACGGCGGGGACGGCAGACGGCGGGGACGGCAGGACGGCAGGGACTGCAGACGGCGGGGACGGCAGGACGGCAGGGACGGCAGACGGCGGGGACGGCAGACGGCGAGACCGGCAGACGGCGGGGACGGCAGACGGCGGGGACGGCAGACGACGGGGACGGCAGGACGGCAGGGACGGCAGACGGCGGGGACGGCAGACGGCGAGACCAACAAGTGCTACCAGATGTGATGACTTCTCGTTCACTAGGTAAATTGGAAACTGAATTAATGTAGGTCCTTAGTTCGCTACCCTGTGCTATTCTAAGCCTACCCTTCTGGATCCTTCTAGAAGCTTCTTCAGTGACGTCATCTAATGACGTCAGCGGATGAAGTCAGACTGTGACGTCCTCCAATGACGTCAGACTTATCCTTTTTTTTACTTTTTACGCTGTAATTACTCCTGTACTAGGCCGTACGTACCTAGCGGCCTGACAAGCAGTGGACTGGACTGACATCCGTGCCAACACAGGTGCTTCGGTCTATGCGACAATTGTTACACCGCATAAAGATGAGCGAAGAATCTACGTGGTATACCACTCAATTAGCCGTAGGCTGTCGACTGTCGGAGTGTCGAGACCTTGGAATCACTAAGGCGCATATCTGGTGGGGATGCTGTGCAACGTGACCACTGTGGAGAGAATTTTTGGGAAGTGGACCGAACTCGGATTGCAATTGTAAAACAACGATCCCCGTATCAAATATGGCTTTTGATCGTCAAATGTACCAACCGGAATATGGAAGCTAATGCAACAACACTACGTAAACCTGCCAGTGGCACAACAGGAGTAGATATATGGTTGGTGATATGACACTTTAAACGAGTACTGGCGCCTCAGAGTTTATACACGCTCCAGGTAGTCTAGAAATGCTGATGCAGATGCAGGTACACGACGCTAGACAACTCAATCTGTCTATCAACCTCGCTACTATGAGGTCGATCACATCAAGCGTGGCTATCGCTACGAGAAAACGTATTGACGAGAACACACGATAAAACGTTTTGACGAGAACAGGCGTCCTGCCGTGCGGCATGGGTTGTCCATGAGGCATTTGCTGCCTCTCTGGGGAGGATCGCAGAGGAGCTCCAATGGGCAACGACAGACAGTACACGATGCTTTTCTTTGATCGAGGTGCGAGAGGATCACCGGGCCTGGGGAGACGGCTCTATCATCGTTGTTGGCGGATTGGCCGCCAAACCGCCGGTCAACAAATGGATGGGCAGCGTCTCACTGGCTGACGCAGCCATGACCGACAACTCGGCCGAGTACAAGATCCTTCTGTTTGGTCTCAGAAAAGCTCAAGCTTATAACCTGAATTGGCTCCATGTGTAATGGGGTGAATCGTTACATCACAATTTATAAGAAATTGTTAATAGAATATAACTATAAGAGTTATATTCTCAGAATATTGTCATAAGGACAAATATTCTGCAGCACTTACAAGTAGTTCCTAATTGGTTGGTATAGGCCATTATATCAACCAACGAAGACGCGCCACGACAGACGCACGCAATGAGTGGTGAGCAGATAGTTGATATGCGCATTTGTATTCAGACATAGTTTGATGAGGATAAATAGTGATTTATTAACAGACATAAACTATGCTAAATGCTGTTCTACTTTTTACTTTAACCAAGTTCTCGCTTCTTCTTACCGTCTTCCTCTGCACGTACGAGTGTAGGTGAAGTTCCGAGGCACCGCCTTATTCTGTCATCAGAATAAGTAGCTTGTACTATCACCAGTACAAGCTTCAGGGTGCCCCTTTACACCTGGTAGCACTTCGTAGTCCGTCCAAGGACCACGTTCGCATCTAACATGAATATGTTGGATGATGATGATGACCAAAGCTTTCACGCTACGCGTGACGGCTACTCCCATTTGAGCTATGTTGAATGGGATGCGGTTATACGGATGGGTTCAACCATGGGCATCCATGCTGTTAGCGTCATGCTAGAGGCTCTCAATAGAGATGCCCAACATGCTACTATCGCCAAGTTCATTCAAAATGAACTTGACGCAGAACGCGAGAAAGTAGCCTTGCTTCACCAACAAGGTTCTCAACAAGCAGAGTTGTTTAGAGAACAGGGTGTTCAACAGTTTGAACTGTTGAGACAGCAGCAGGCTGCTGCTGGTGGGTCGATGCACTCGCGTCGACCCGAGACCTTGAAGATTGACATCTCCAAGTATAGGGGAGTCGAAGAAGACTCCCTCTTGAGATGGTTCGTCGAATTGGACGACGCCATAAGGGCACGTCGCATCGACGACGGGGATATGCAAGTTGCATTTGCCCAATCAAATCTGGCAGGACGTGCCAAGACTTGGGCTTTGGGGTTCAAGTTGCACGACCCATATGCGTTTGGGTCGTTCGACGTCTTCAATTCGCGGCTCAGACAAACGTTTGAACCGCCTAGAGCTGAGTTCAGAGCTCGAACCAGACTCTTGAAGCTCAAACAGGGTAAGCGTGATGTGCACGCTTACGCGCAACATATACGACATCTTACGAGTTGTATAAGTTCCAACCCGGTTGATGAACACACGTTGGTTTCGGTGTTCATGCAGGGTCTTGTGGATGGTCCCGTCAAGACTCACCTGTTCCGGCTTGAACTAGATTCACTAGAACAAGCCATTTCCATTGCGGAACAGGAAGACTTCAGTCTGAGACAGGCTCGCGCCAGCTCGACATCATATCGTCAACCGAGACGATGTGACAGCGGAGGTCCAGAGCCGATGGAACTCTGTTATGTAGAGAGCGAGAAGGCTCGCTCTACAGACTACAAGAAGTTGCAGAAATGCAACAGATGTCAAAAGACAGGACACTACGCTTACGAGTGTAGTTCCCCTCGTCCAGTGTCTCGCAACACTGGGCGTAGTGACCGTCCACCCATGAGAAAGGGACAGGGACGCGGGTCCGCTGTTGGTGCAAAGACGCAACAACGGGATGGACCGTCAAAAAACGGACCGGATCAGTAGGTGCGAAGCACCCTACTGGTCCAGCAACGTCAAGAGAATTTGTAGGCCTCTTGATGAAGGTTGCTCCCAACACACAAAGATTATGAGTTGCTGCTCTAGGTAATGAGATCTCTCTCATTGCCTTGAAACTTGAAGTGACGAATAAGTTGTCCCTTCGAGCTCTAGTCGATTGTGGGGCGTCCAACAATTTTGTGTGACGCCAATCGCTAGAAGATGGTCACTTTAAATTCAGTGAATGTGACACACCTCCTACGAGGATGACGGTACGTCTTGCGACAGGCGCATCCGTAACCGTCATGAAGCGTATAGTAAAGATCCACTATACGCTAGAAGATACCCAATATGACGATGACTTTATCGTATTGGATTTGGATGACAAATTTGATGTCATCCTTGGAATACCGTGGCTCAGAAGGTACGAATCACGGGTAAACTGGCAACATCGGACAGTAACGATGCCTGCCGCTTGTTCATCAGATGGCCATCTGATCAACGTTTTGGAGCGTCCACAAGCGTGTGGATGTACTACGAGTGAGTGCGATGGCCTCACTTGTGGTACGGTCGTTAGTACGACTGCACAAAACCTTAGTGTACCAAACGGTTACACTTCGGAGCAAAGTTTCGGCGGCTGTGAGGAAGCACAGGCTGCGCCGAAGGTCCACCACTCGAATAAGTCGAGTGGATCGGGACAAAGATGCATCCCTAGCGGGGAACATCTAGAAGAGAAACAATCGATCGCTCAGGTTAAGCGAAACGATAATCCTAGATCGACTGGAGAGTCTTTCGTAGAGTATCTCGCTGTGGTTGCGCAACCCCAGCTAGAGGAAGTAAAGGGAATAAGTCCCAAGATTACAAATACGGCGGAAATAAGTTCCCCGAAACCCGCGGGAATAAGTCCCCGGGAAGCCGAAGGAATAAGTCCTTCGAGGCCTGAGGGAATAAGTCCCCAGGAAATGACAGAGACATTGAATGTCATAGTCAATAATGGATCAAGTGTAGGCGCTTATACACTTGATCTGATTGCCCCTCCGAAGTTGACTTCGGAGATCACTCAGTTGCCAACGCTCGAACATAAAAGGTTCTTGCGTGATCTGCGTAGTGGCAAAGTCAAGCAGATCTGCGTACTCGTCGCTGACGACGAGTGTGTAGCCGACATAAGGTCAGCAACAGTGTTTACTGAGAACGAGAAAGTTTTCAGTAGTTCATCTATGGACGAGAGTGTCCTAGATGAAAAGACACGAGTTGAGCGATATGACTCCCAATCGTGGGAATCGCTCAAGACAGATCCTCTCTATGAAGGTTTGGTTGAATTCAAGGATGTATTCCCTGAAACTGTTCCGTGCGAATTACCGAAGGATAAAGGTATTCGACACGAGGTCGAGCTTAAATCAGGCTCGAAGTAGTGTGTCATGAAGCAGTGGCCACTGCCTCGTAAACAAGTACTTGCGATCGACAAGTTCTTCGCCGATCGTTTAGCTGCGGGCCATGTGAGGGAATCAACTTCCCTACATAGATCTCTGACCTTCTGTGTGCGAAAAGCAACAGGAGGGTGGCGGATAGTGCATGCATTTCACAAGTTGAATGCTGCAACGGTACCGGCTCAGACGCCGATACCGAAGAAGGACGTAATCATTGATGGTATGTCAAAGAGTACCATCTTTTCGTCCATGGATTTGATGGATGGCTTCTATCAAATCCTTATGCGAGAACGGGATATACCCTATACCGCAGTCAGCACGCCTAGCGGTATGCTCTGGGAATGGCTAGTAATGCCACAAGGGCTTAGTAATGCCCCTGCCACGTTCAACAGATGTGTATCACATCTGTTGAGACCAGTACGAGAATTCGCGCCGAGTTGTTTCAATGACGTATTCATCCATAGTCGGGCTATGGATGGAAAGTCGGACGTTGAGGTTCACAGATACCAAGTCCAACAGGTTCTTACAATAATGCGAAAGCATCAATTGTATGCAAACCTCAAGAAGTGTATATTTGCAGCAAGCGAAATACCACTTCTTGGGTGCATCGTTGGTAAGAACGGTGTACGTCCTGATCCTGAAAAGATCAAGGCGATCACCGACTGGCCTGTGCCGGTTGATGTCAAAGGTCTTCGAAAATTCCTTGGGCTAGCGGCGTATTTGCATAAGTATTCACGCAATTACGCCGAGATGACTGTACGTCTCTCTCGTTTGTTAAAAAAGAACGAGAGGTGGTGATGGAACGCTGAATGTCAGCGCTCCTTTGATGGTATTAAGCAGAGCTTGATACAATCCCCAGTCCTAGCAATTGCCGATCAGGACAGGCCATTTCATGTGGTCTGTGATGCCAGCGATTTCGCAATCGGCTGTGCATTAATGCAGTACGATCTTGAAGGCGTTGAACGCGTCGTCTGCTATCAGTCGCGTCAGCTGCAACCAGCTGAGCGAAACTATCCAGTGCATGACAAGGAACTCCTTGCCATGAAGTATGCACTCGCGAAGTTCAGAGTCTATCTATTAGGAGATAGACCCTTCATTGTTTACACTAACCATGCGTCATTACGCCCGGCAGTAAACAGCCCGCACCTTTCACAACGAATGGCGCGGTGGTTGTCATTCTTTGCAGAATACAACTTTACGGTCGAGTACAAACCAAGACGACTTAATGTTGTCGCTGATGCACTCTCACGTCGTCCCGACTTTGAACCAGTCGTGAAACCCAACAGAGAGACAGTCACTGTTGCGGTTATGACGTCCTCAGTTCCATCTACAACGTTGTATGATGATGTGAGGCGGGCATACGCCCAAGATAGTGAGATTGTGAAGTTGTTGACACATCTCTCACAGCCATCCCGAGAATCGTTGAAACGATTATCGTCTGCGTATCGATCTGCATCAGATCGATACACTACCCGCAACGGGTTACTGTATTATACAGCCGTTTCTGGTTACACACCACGTGTTGTCATTCCAGATGATACTGATCTGCGTTTGCGGATCATGTTCGAGTATCACGATGCTCCTATAGGAGGACATCGTGGCTGTGAGAAAACATTTCTCACGGTGAGTCGGGACTTTTACTGGCCCCGCCAGTATCAGTTTGTGCGAAAGTATGTTCGCGCATGCGAAGTCTGTCAACGAGTGAAGTCAAGTCCTTCACTGCGTGCACCTTTACAGCCTCTACCAATTCCGGCTGAGTGCTGGGAATCCATCTCAATGGATTTCGTCTTCGGGTTACCCAAAGACGCACGCGGGAATACGGGTATTCTCATATTTGTTGACAGATTCAGCAAAATGGTACACCTTGTGGCTGTACCAGAGTCAATCACAGCAAGTGGCTGTGCTTGTGTCTTTACCGACACCATCTTCCGACTTCATGGGTTACCCCGTGAACTCGTATCAGACAGAGATCCACGATTCACTGCTGATTTCTGGCGTTCTGTGTTCAAATCACTCGGAACGCGCTTGAAGATGTCTACATATGATCATCCAGAGTCAGATGGTCAGAAGGAACGTGCCAATCGTGTCCTCGAAGAGATACTTCGAGGATACGTACACTCCTTCAAAAGTTGGAGTGAGTTTTTGCCAAAGGTAGAGTTTGCCATTAACAACTCGGTGCATGCGTCCACGACACATACACCGTTTTACGTGAATGGCTTACGCCATCCGCGTGTACCCACCTTACTAGAGTGTAACTCTGGTTTAAGGGGGAGAGACTCGCGCGAGCAAAAACCGATTTGGTTCACGCTCATCACGCTCTGACGAAGAGGTCATTGCGCTTGATGCCGATATCGATAACATCGATATCGAAGAAGATGATGCCAGTGAGAGTGCGGAAGCCCTCACTGAAGAAAAGATTGATGTTGCTGCAGTACGCTCTCAGCGCACTGAAGCTAACGAGTCATCAGATGAGTTCATACTGGCTCGTGAAACGGTAGTCCGTTTTGTGCAAGACTCCATCGCCGAAGCGGTGGATAAGCAAAAGCAAAACGCTGACAAGAATGGAAGGGCAAACACTCTTTTATTTAACAAAGGTGACTTAGTCCTACTGTCTACGGTTTGTCTACAAAAGCATGTAGTGACTAACTTGGGTAGCAGTAAACTACTACTCAAGTACATCGGCCCATTTCGTGTATTGCACCGCCTAGGCAATACACGATCGAGTTACCACGTAAGATGCGAACGCATCCCACGTTTTACGTTGGTCGGCTTAAGCCGTACCACCAGTAAGCTGCTTCTTCCGATGAAGAACGCCCTTGCGCTCAAGCATCTCGCAGAGAGCCTTGTGCTCCCGATGGTGGGCATCAACAAGGGTCTGAAGAGCAGCTATCTCATCCCGAGACCGATCAGCAATCCCACGAGCTACCCTTAGCTCGTCACGAAGAGATGTCAGAGATCTATCGTTCTCGAGCTGAGCAAAGGCAAACTCAGTTCGATGCTTCGAGGCAGTGTCCGCCATTTGGAGGCGCCTATTCCGCTCATGTTCGAGATCGTCGCGTAACCCTTGCGTTACGCGATCAAAGAAGCTCTCGGGAACACACGCTTCCCCACGATTGTGTGGAGAGCGTCTTCCCTCCTCCTCCACCTCCATTAGAGGACTCTCGCGGTGGCCAGCGCTATCTAGTTAAGCAGCTGTTGAACCACCGCGACGTGAACGGACGTCGGACGAGTTATCTCGTCCGGTGGCGCGGCTATCCCCCGTCCTGGGATTCTTGGGAGCCCCGCTCCCAACTGATGATCGACGTACTGGGTCTGGTTGAGCAGTACGATGCGGCACATCCTGTCCCGCAAGAGGACCGCCGGAGAAAGACTTCCCGGCTCGGTCGTAAAGGTATTTCAGGTTTGCAATCCCTTCGTACATCTCAGTAAAAATACGTGCGCGCCACCACGGGCTAGTAAGGAGATAAGTCTCCTTACGCGCGCGCGCAGAGTTGTTAACACAACGAGGGCACGAGTCTCCCCAAGAGAGGCAGGGTAATCCTTTCTCCTATGACAGACGATGCAGCTTGTAGCGTGCACCTGTCGGGGTTCGCTTTTCAAACTTATCACGAGCTTTGATAAGTTTGTCGTTCCAAGCGTCACGACCTACATCCTCGAGGTTATGGATGTAGGCGTTCCACGACTGAAGCAGTGAGGGACCATCACGCTTGTGATTCCCACTGTACCATCGATGTCTAAAGAAAGCATCGATGAAGAATTCATTCTCAGCGCGATAGTTTTTCGAGCTGGGGTCAAGGTGATGGATCCTTGACGAATCGAACAATCGTGTTCGACAACGATCACTCGTCGTCGCCGACAAGTGATCCATGACAGATTTTAGGAGGCATCCATGCCTTCTTCTCAGGAGCGAGATGCAAGACATTGCGGTCCCGCACTTCCTGCGACGTGCCGACAGAAGGACTGGTACCTCGTTGCGAAGTGGTGTCCATAGGAGAACCGACACCACTGTTAGCGCCCGAGTCTCGCGACCTCGAGCGCCTACGCTTCGGCGATGGTTCATCTGATTCATCAGATGAACTAAAGATGCTGCGACGCATAGCATCATCCATGCCAAGCTTGGCAGGCGGCTTGGATTTGATCGCCGTCGATACGGATCCGTCTTCTGTATCAGGAGAGTATGAGACACCGAGCTCATACTCTGTGAAGACATGAGTGTCTTCATGACGAGCGCCTGCATCACCAGAGGACGCAGGCTGAGTCGCTTCAGCAACCGATGAGACATCAGTTGCTGCGGTTTCTGCTTCGGCGTCCGCACAGAGACGTGCGGACGCGCTCTCGGCGGCCTTGCTCGCGCATCGCATGGACTTGTTAACCATACGATGAAATGTTGGAAAGTGGACTCGGACCAACAAGTGCAAACCCTGTCCCAAATGATTTGGGACGAGTATCCATTTAGTCAATCAGTCACTAAAGTGACTGATGGTTAAGGGGGGGTGATGTAACGGGGTGAATCGTTACATCACAATTTATAAGAAATTGTTAATAGAATAAAACTATAAGAGTTATATTCTCAGAATATTGTCATAAGGACAAATATTCTGTAGCACTTACGAGTAGTTCCTAATTGGTTGATTTAGGCCATTTATCAACCAACGAAGACGCGCCACGACAGACGCACGCAATGAGTGGTGAGCAGATATTTGATTTACACATTTGTATTCAGACATAGTTAGATGAAGATAAATAGTGATTTATTAACAGACATAAACTATGCTAAATGCTGTTCTACTTTTTACTTTAACCAAGTTCTCGCTTCTTCTTACCGTCTTCCTCTGCACGTACGAGTGTAGGTGAAGTTCCGAGGCACCGCCTTATTCTGTCATCAGAATAAGTAGCTTGTACTGTCACCAGTACAAGCTTCAGGGTACCCCGTTACACCATGCCGTTGGATACAGTAACCTCATACTGGGGCAGCTGAGGATAAGGAAGGAGCCGAGAGCACGGCATTTGCAAGACTTATACCGACAGTGCAGGACCATCGCTGATCGGTCGAACGTGGCCACATGGCGACATCATCTTTGATATTTTAATAGGATGTAGGATGATGTGGCTAATATAGCCGTGGACTCGAAGAAGATCGCACAAATCAGCCAAAACAACAGGGAGAGGCTCCCTCCGTATTGTCTAGCAACGAGGAGACATTAAGAGGGCACCTAGGTCGCTGGCTCGAAATGAGCGGAACAGCAAAAGCAGATCAGGTGCACAGTGACGATGGATAGTTATAAGGCACATTGCTTTAGTGTGCATGCGGTAGCATGTAGAAATATGCAGCTATCAAAGTGACGAGGGATGTGTAGGCCTAAGTCGGGCGGACATTTTCGGGTCGTTAGGACAACTTAATGACTGTAGTGTAGCAAGAAAAGTAGGAATCACGATCAGGAGACCGCAAGCGGGGGACCGCCATCAGGGAACACGATCAAGCAATGCGATTCGGCGTTCTCCGCCTCATATGTAAGGATTACAAATCCATTCGGCATGGAGACGACATGTGACGGTCTGTCGTGAAATACGGGGTAAGCGTATTCAATGCTTTATGCGTTGGTTGTGTAACATTATAACGAGCTCAAATTGTTTAAAGAACACAGTCAACTCTTTCGGGTAGGATTAGATGGCCTCTTGACTTGTAAAGAAGATCGGTGCTTGTTCCAAGTATATCAATCCTGTATTATTTGTTCAGGAGTGCAAAATTCTTACTCCTCAACTGGGGGATCTTGCAGTGAACTCTAGTGGTCAGGTACAAGATCTCGAGACGGCTCAAGTGGTCAAAGGGCTCGCAAATCAAGTTTTGACATTTTGTACGAGGCGATCTCAAGAGATATCCAGGCTGCATAGATAAAGTCCCCAAAAACGCTGCGATCGCGTGAAGATTTCCACGTGATCGCTCCTCCCATCTTGAATGCGGTCGAGTCTTCCATCGACAAGAGTCCACTGAGAAGAGTGCAACCCGCCCTACCGACGGATATGCAAGGTGAGACACGAATAAATCTACACGGAATCAGACCACCTCCATCAGTCGGTCATCTTGGCATTAGCGTAGAGTCTGGATCACATTAGATTTTTTGGCGAATCCCACTTCATCTAGCGTTCCTTTCCTGAAATAATTTGAGAAGTTCGTGCGCAAACAGCGTATACCTGCATCTAGGCGCAAAGCCATAAAGTGCCAGTTTCATCACAAAGACTTGTGATAAGCTTCTGCGCAAGCAGGCCCGGAATGAGACACTAAGCAGAACTGTTGCTACGCTCTCGGCCCGGTCTATGCAAGCAAGGCCTATCATGATAACCAATGGAGGAAGATACCAGAATGGTTACGTGTTCTATCTCCCATTTGCGAGGTAAGGCCTCAGAATGGGCTTACTCAGTGCTAATAGTAGACAGTAATGTGGTATGGTACTTTTTTAATATTGATGATGCATTTAGATTCTCCACTACCCCTAGAATACAGAAGATTGGATGGCGGTACTCTGTGACCGTGCTTGTTCCCTTCCCCATCTTGTGTACCCGTCATTGGGGAAGGTTGACTCGTGTCGATGGAAGAATTGACCTTGTTTAGGATAGGGGGATCAATAAGGCTAAAATCTTGACGCTATCGCAGTGTTCTTGGTGGACTCGAGTCGAGCTGCCCAGATATATCGTGAGATGAACCTGTTCAAAATGTGGATTCTTGATTCGTCTGTAATGCTGACCAGTCGATCCGTCTGTAGATCTTGCGCCTTGTACTTATACTATGATGCTGCGTCCGATCGCAGTTTATAAGTTGTTGAAGAGTTTGTTGCCCCAGCTTTATGATCTTGGAATGTCATTTGATTTAGGTCAATAAACTTACATACGTCGGGAGGCCGAAAATATCTAGCACAAAAAAGAAGTTGACACGCGTCTTTAAAATCACACTAAACAAATATGGTTAATTTTGCCAAACGGAACCAAAAACCTATGATAACGCCAACCCCTGAATCCAATGTCATGCGTCACCCCTTTATAAAACCGTCCCCTCGTAACCTTCACAGTAACTATACTAACAGTTATATCGCAAAACCACAGACCGCGGATCTTGGGTCGCAATCGTGAAACTTGGGGTGCGAGTGGAAACCACAAGATCCTGATCGCGTATTTCCAGTGTTACAGTTACGCTCCAATTATGTACTTCACACAACATATTGATGTCCTTTTTATGCGACTGTGCATTTTTGGGATCGTGAAAGATAATTACGAGATCTTGCATCCTTCGTGGCCTGGTATGTACCATTTACGTACTCGTCAAAACGTCTGGAGACCTCTTCTTCGTGCATTTTCGAATCTTGGGACTGCGATCGCAGATCATGGGATCGCGATCATAAATCTTGGTGTAGCGAGTGCAGACTGCGCTATCGTGGTCGCTTATGCTTTGTGATGTGGTACAAGCGGTGTAGGTAATTATCAGCTAGGAATCACTATGGGTTATAGTGTGCAAGAGATTGCAATGACATCTATCCGATGTTAGCGCAGCCTAGGTCAATAAATCGGATTTGGAAAACCAAGTTTGGCGAAGCATTAGTTGGCGAAGCCTAGGTCGGCGAAGCTTTAGTCGACGAAGCTAAGGTTGATAAACGCGTGTAGACAGATTAGGGCAACAGAAGATTTAGTCTTTGTTGCAATGCACGTGAAAAAAGTTTAGTGAGAGCGTATGTATTTCAATTTACGCCCATGTTTCGTTAAAAGTAACCAAATAGGAAGTGGCGAGTTTTACGTTCTTACAAAAGCCCATTGCTGCTACAATACTAGCACAAAGAACGATTTCTGAAAGGAAGTTTTTCAAAACAACATGCTTGGGATTCAGTGTATAGTGCACTTGACCTGATTTATGGTTATAAACAAAATTAGAAAATCAATTTCTTTGGTAGAAAAATCATTGCAGAATATTCAAAGAACTATGACATGCCCATTTATTCATTTTGATAAATATTAAGGATTGTTACATCGAGGTAGCGGAAATTTATAGAACATAAAAACTGTCATCGATCACTAACGCAATCATGTGATATTTCTCTTACAGCAGTTAGCACCACGAGTGGTATACCTTGAGAGTGGGTGGGTGTGCCTCAGGAATTATTCAATGTATTGGCGACGTTAATCGTCTTGTAATGCAACATCCCCGTTCTCACCGAATTTAGGCACAGGCTAATGTACTGAAATCTGTTCCATAGTCAAGCAGAACACGGGAATACAGGTGTGAGAAATTACATCGTCCACTCGCGAGCAGTGCTCGAGTGTACGCGCACAAGCTAATATGCTAATGACATTTACAAGATTTGGCGCCGAAGAGTATTCTTCCTGGGGTGCTTAATAGAAAGCGTGGCATAAGGATTGACCCTGTAAAGTCTATGCTCATTTATGATTAGCCGGTTACTCGACCAGAAGGGTTTGCGTAAATGGCTTGGCCTTGCAAACTATCTGCACAAGTATAGTGCAGATTACGCTGGCCGTTGCCCGATCCCCTGAAAACGAATACTTTATGATGCTGGCCTAGTGTTAAGAATGAGGTCCTTACAGACGTAAAGGGAAGTATACTTCATGCTCCTGTTTTGTCCCTGCCTGATCCGGTGCCGCACACGACTTCGCCATTGGCATTTCTCTGTTAAAACTCCATTAGGTGATATTTCAGCGCATGTTCCAACTAAATCATTTTTCACTACTGATGGACAAATGATCTGAAAACTAAATTATTTAATAAGGTTGAAGATTTGCATGTAGTGTGGGGTTATCGGTAATTTTTGAAAGCTCTGCAGCTGAAAATAAAGCTATTAAGCAGATTACAGGTACACTAAAATTAGAATTCGCTTAAATGAGAGAGAGAAACAATCTTTGCTCAGTTTGGTCCAGATATAGATGTGACTACTCAAAAAGCAACAATTAGAAAGGAAGGTTCGTTTCACTCTATTTTATACCAATGTTTAATACACCTGTGTCTGCTAAAGATCACATTGCCATTAACTAAATGAACAGATGAGAAAGGACGTGTGCGTGTCACTGTCTTTCAGTCTGCCAATGTTAAAGCAGATAAAAAGAACATCAAGTTCATGACAAGAGTAACTTGCTATGAAGTATGGTCTAGTCAAATTCAGAGTACATCTGCTGGGATTAAAGTCATTTAAGATCTTTACCTATCATGCGTCACTAAACACTGCTAAGCATTTTTACCTAATCTATCACAGAAAATAGCTCTTTGGTTGGAATTCCATGCAGAATACAACTTCGAGATGAAATGATAGCCAGAAAACCGAAACGCTTTAGCGGATGCGTTATCACGCATACCCGACGATGATCT